CGATACCAAGTTGGATCATTGTCTTCTCATGGATTCCATAATCTTACAGACACTGAGCCTTTCCTTTGTCTATTAAAGGATCACAATACCTCATTTCCCTATGGTTGGTGAGTGGACAAAGTGAAATAATGTACATACACATGCTTACACTTAGCACAGAGTACAAGAATAGATATACAGCAAGGAAAACTTCATAGGGAACATTTGTAGAAAAGTAGTTTGGGCAGTGGTAGTAAGGGCGGTAATAACCAAGACAAATAATTAATGTATATAAAAAAGTACTTAAAGCTGCCATGGGGTCTTTTGTCCCTGGGTATGATGGAATAGCTGACAGCTATTTGTGTAAAGGCATCTAGAGCTGCTCAAAAATAGGATACCCGAGGGGCTAAGATTCTGATGGAAAGTTAAGACTTCTGCAAATGATGACCCTGCATGAAGCAGGAAGCCAAGAAGAAAGCCTCCAAAAAAGCACAGCAAAGTTTTCAGATATACTACTGAGCAGACAAGGATTAGAGCTCAGGATCTGCCGGTGAGAGGGGCCTGAGTAAGAACATCAGGCTCTGTTTGGGAGGCCTGGAAAGCTAGACTGCATGAAAAGGACAAGCCAAATGTACAAATAAACTTACGTCAGTCTTGATTCACTTCAGTCCCTGACTGGTTCAACATTACCATCCCCTTCAGCCCCTATGCTTTATATCTAGGACAGGATGAATCCTCTATGAAAGAAGATACCACCTGGAGCCTTTACAGTTTTCATAACGGCTAATATTCAATTAGTGACTTCCAGACTGCCAAAAGACTGAAAACTAGGAGAAAAGAAGAGGCAATACACACAGACCCACAGAACATTCAGACATTTGGACGTCAGAAGACAAGAACTTTAAATGTGATGAATATGTTGTAGAAGAGAGGAAAAGATGGAAAAAACAGAAGAAAAACAGAGTTTTATGTTAAATCCATTAAGAAAGAAACAAGTGGAAATTCTAGAACTGGAAAAATAATTGTAATTAACAACTTAACATGTAAGTTTAGTAGCAGACTAAAGAATCAAAGACAGGAGTAGAAAACTTTTTAAAAGGTCAGTAACAGATATTTACACTGAAGCAGAATAAAAATACAGAAAATACAAAAAGAAACTAGCACAAATGTGAGACACAGTGAAAGTCTAACATGTGAGTGGAGTGGCAACACTTAAAAAGATAAATAACTGAAAGTTTTCCAAAACTGGTCAACAAAATAATTAAATTATTATAGCACTTACATACATGAACAATTAAAATGCATGTTAACAATAATGTAAAAACACAGCAGGTAAGTGGAATAAAAAACATGCTAAATAAACAAAAAAGTGTTCCAAGGTTCTTGGCAAAATAAGAAAAGTAAGTATTGATATTATCTGTAATGTCAAAGAAGCATACTGTAATTACTAGGGTAACCAGTAAAAGAAAAATGAGACAGCATAACTAATAATACGACAGATAAATCAAAAAGAGGAGAGGAAAAATAAATAGTAAGATAGTAGCTAGTGATATAAATAATTACATATAAACAGGCCACATATACCCATTATCAGACAGGATTAAATAAATACCTAAAGACATAAAAACTAAGAGCAATGTCAGATCTTGGAATAGTAAAAGAAAGTAGTGGGAAAACTGGCAAAAATCTGATTCAAGTCTCAGTTAGCTAACAGTATTATACCAATGTTATTTTCTTGGTCTCAATAAATTTGATATTGTTATATTATTTAATATAAATATAACAAAGTATTTACATTTAATTGTTATTTAATAGGGGGTTTAATATTAATACATGTTAACATTACAGGAAGCTGTGTAAGGAAAAAAAATGCAACTATTTGGTGTTTGGAGAAGATTTAAATGTAAGGATATAGAAAGATTTGAGTTAAAAGGTTGAGAAAATATACACTTCATACATCCTATCGAAAAAACAAAGAGGGCACACCTTTACTAGGATAAGACAAAAGAGACTTTAAAGCAAGAAACATTGAGAGGGATAAAAATGAAAAAAATAAAATGAGAAAAAATCAATTATGAAAACATAATTCTGAATATGTCCCTATACAATGGGATCAGTTCCAAAAATCACAGTGGAGGACTTTAATTCACTTCTCTCAGTAAGTGACAGAACAACCTTAATGACATTAACCCATATATGTTATGTATGTATACATATATATACATGTAAAGATATATATATGTCTTAACATGTGTATATATATATGTGTGTGTATAATATATATATATATATATATATATTATACACACACACACACACAGAATATGAGATTGGGGGTAGGGGGTGGATAGAACCTCGCACTCAACAGAATAAGAATGCATATTTTTCTCAACTGCCCAGAAAACACTTGCCAAAACTAACCATATTACCACATAAGTCTTTCAAATTTCAGTTCATTTAAATCATTTGGAGTATGAACCTTAATCACAGTGAAACTAAGTTAAAAACCCTAAGCAAAAAATACCTGGAAAATACCTATGTCCCCAGAAATTAAACATTAGCTTTCTAAACCTATAGGTGGAAAAAGAAGAAATCACAATAAGCATTAGAAAATATTTTGAACTTAATAACATTGAAGCTATTTCATACCTTGAAAGATATAACTATTATTGATGGCTAGGAAACTTACAACCTTTCAGGATTATATACCAGAAAAGGCAGGCTAAAAATCAATGATTTAAAGTTATACCTAAAGAAACTAGGAAAAAATAAGTCAAACCTGAAGAAAACAGAAGAAATAATAGAGGCATGAGCAAAAATCAATGACTGTGGGGAAAAAGTATGTACAACAGAGATAATACAAAGCCAAGAGCTGTCTCTGAAAAATAAAATTGACTGATCAAGGCAAAAGAGTGAGGACATAATTTATAACACCAAAAACAACTCCCTAAAAGACAATGAGGATTTCATGAAAACATTATACCAATTTAACTGGTAATTCAGATAAATGAGATAATTGAAAAAATAACTTTTCAAAACTGACAATAAGAGAAAATCATAAATAGTCCTATTTTGATTAAAACAGAGTCATTAAAAACCATCCCACAAGGAAAACTTACACAGAAGGCTTCATTGCACAAGCTCCTCTGCAGAATGAAAGACGAACTTCAAAACTTGCTTAATGAAATTAGTTCAATTTTTATACCAAAATCTGTCAAGCACTTTACAAGAGGAGAAAACCTCTCTTATGAACACAGACATAAAAATCACAGGCAAATTAACAGCCAGTCAAATCTAACATTACATAAAAAATATATTTTATGACCAATATCATTTTATTTGAGTAATGTAAGGGCAATTAACATCACAACCTATTAATATAATTTAGCAAAAAAGAGGAAAAATGCATCACCCAGACAGATGCAGAAAAAGTGCATAATAAAAATTCAACACCCTTTCAGGATGAAAACTCTTTATAAAAACAAGAAAAGAAAACTTAATTTTACAAAAAGTGTGTTAAAACACATCCACACCCAGACACCTTCAATAAAAATTCCCAAAGAGATGAGACAATAAAGACCATTATGGGCACTTTCATTCAACACTGCAATAAAAGTCCTAGCCAGTACCTTAAAGCAAGAAAAATAAAAGACAAAATAATTGACAAAGAAAGAAAATGATTATCTGTCACAGGTAATATGACTGTATACAAACTAACAGAATTTTGTCTAGGTTGCTGTACGTAAGGCCAACATACAAAAAATCCATTGTATTCCTACACATTAGCAACAAACAATCAGAAAATAAAAGTCTTATGGGACATAACTTGCAGTATAAATTTTAAAAACCCACTTCTCTTAGAAACAAATCTAATGAAGGAAAATAAAAGTCTTATGGGACATAACTTGTAGTATAAATTTAAAAACCCACTTCTCTTAGAGAAACAAATCTAATGAAGGATGCTCACAATCTACAATGAAAACTACAATACAGTAGTGACAATAAAGACAAGCTATATTAATGGAGGAATATAGTACTCTCATGAAACAGAATATTCAGAATTCTCTCCAGATGGACATGTAAGTTCAATGCAATCACAATTAGAATCCTAAAAGTGCTTTTTGTGGAAAGTGACAGGTGAGTTCTAAAAGTTATATGGAAATAAAAAGGGTCAAGAACACCCAAAGCAATCCTGAAGAAAATGAAGCTGAAGGACTATACATCAAGCATATGATACCAAGACTTAAAGACAAAAAGTAAAAAATATCAAGACTTAAAATATAGTCACTGAGATTAAGACAGAGTAGTGCTGGTACAAGAATAGAGGAACTGACTAATTGAAGAAAATAAGAAGGTGAGAAACCCTTCTACACATATTTAGACAGTTCATTTATGACAGAATAATGAAATACAGTATAGAAACGATGGTCTTATGATGCTGTATCAAATGGATTATCATAGAAAAATAAAATCTTGATTCTTAACCTCATATACACAAGATCAATTCCAGATATATTTCAGGTGTAATATGAAGGTATGCAATAAAGTTTGGGCTGGGGGGCATGAGAGAATGTTCATACCTCTGCGGTAGGCAAATATTTCTTAAGCAGAACACAGGGCAAAAAAATACCTTCATTACATGAATTCAGGACAGGACTTATATCCAGAACATACAGAGAATGCCTGAAAATTACTATAAAAATTGCAGGCAAAAAAAATTGGCCAATAACTTAAATATTGCATTTAAAAACAACAACAAAAAAAAGGAGGATATCCAAAAGGTCAATAAACATAAGAAGAGGAGTTCAACGTGAGTCATCAGACTAACAAATGAAGACAGCAATGTGGTACCACTACTCATGAAACTGAATGTTAAAATTTAAAAAGACAGTAACAATGAATGTTGTTGACCAACATGGAGAACTCAAATCTATAAAATTACATTGATAGTGAAAGTATAAATTAGTATAACCACTTTGGAAAATGTTTACAATATATATTAAAGCTAAACAAATGAATACCTTACAACTGAACAATTCCACTTCTGGATTACAGCCAACAGCATACATTCATATGCTCATCAAAAGATGTGTCTGAGAATGTTCACAGATGGACTCTAGATATAAATATGAAAATAAAGCAGTAAAACACTTGTGACAGGCAAAAACTAGAATCAACCTGAATGTTCATCAACAAAAGAATGGATAAATTGTGGTACACTCATATAGTGGAATACTATACAGCAATTAGAATGAACAATCTAGTACAACATGTAACATGAGGAATCTCACAGACATGTTAAGGCAAAAAAGCCAGACATGCTGTATGATTCCATTCAAACAAAGTTTTAAAAAAGGTAAAACAAACAAGATATAAGAAGCTAGAATAGTAGAGGTGTGACAAAATTTTGAGACATTATGAATTGGTATCAAAGTTTGTGGTTTAGAAAGCACACCTGGTTCAATGATAACAGAGATTCATGTAAGAAACAAAAGAAAAGGCTTTTTGGACAACTTGAGTTTAGGATACCAGTGGGGGGAGAGGGAGGGTACAATTATAAACATACTCAAAAGACCATGAAAATATGCCATATTTATTATAGTTTTACAGATATGCAAACACAGAAAAATGATGTGAGATGAATGCTATTTATTGGCTTCCTATGAACTCTATTCCACTAGATGGTTCCTAATAAGGAATAAGACTCTTCAGTAGCCAAATCCCTGCATGTATACTTACTGATTCCAGCAAACCACCAAAAACTTCACCAAAAGCTTTTAACTCATAAGAGAAGGATTTCTCTCTGAAGGTGCATCTTCAGTACTGTAAGGAGAATCACTGTGAAAATTTATTTTATAATAATCCACTCCATAGCCAACTTTGCAGAAATTTGTCTATTCTGCAGGGCTATCAACTAACTTTTTCTTTGGTAGAAGCAATTTAATAATACCAAGAATAGATATTTTGCAAAGACTTTCTACATATCAAGCTTAAGTATTTATCTAATTTGATTCCCAAAGTAATTGTACAAGGAAGGTAATAACTGCCTCTGCTAATGTTGTTGATGAGTAAACCAGAGCACAAAAAGGCTATGTTGGTTGACTGGATTGAAGATGGTGGAATAGGAAGGCAAGGCAGGAACCTCCTCCCCAAAATACATGAAAACGACTGGAAGACTGCAGAAAAGACAACCTACAGCTGAGGAGGAAGAGAAGACCACACAGAAAAGGGGTAAAGTGGCAAAGCCAAGATCAAGAGGGACCCAAGTCCTCCCCCCACACCAGCCTACAGGCAGGAGAAAGAAGAAAGGAGTGGTGAGGGAGTAGGAACCCAGAAGTGCTGCACACCTGGCCCTGGAGATCTGCACTGGGATCACAGGCCCATATTATACTGGGTTCTGGTGAGCAGTGGAGCTGAACACCAGGGACAGCCAAAACACTCTGGGACGCTGAGACATCAGCCAGTATGGAGGGCAGGCATGTTCTGCCAGTCCTGAGACCCAGAGCAGAGGCAGAAGTTTGAAAGATTTGCCAGCAATGGGAGGGGTGAGAGCTGGATGGAAGTCCCTCCTCAGGAGAAAGGAGAGGTGGACTATACCTCCCCAGCCCTCTCTCAGCCCAACAAATCACGACTCTCAGGAACCCCAGATGCTCAATCCCCCTTGCAGGCAATGCAGTCCCGAGGCTTCTCCCTGCACGCACTGCTGGGAGCCAAATCACAATGCCCAGTGGCAATATCAGACTTTGCTGCCTGGCAGGCAAAAGAAGACTCTCCCAGATCCCTGGCTCCATTTCAACCCAACTGGGGAGATGCATACAGTAGCCAGCCTCAAGAGCTCCTTCCTCTCTGTGGGTGTCCAAAGCCGGTGCCGCATGTCTGGTGAGAGCATAGCCAATGTAAGTCCACCCAAACCATTAACCCTGCAGCCCTGCCACTGCTGCAGGCCAGGCAGAGGATGGTCCTTCCCACAGCAGAGCTCAACAGAGACTCCTGAGCTTATCAAAAAGGCTTGGATGAAGCAAACTGCCCACCTAGACTAATATCACTACATAAGTCAGACAGAAAGGAGGCCCCACTCAAGGACCACCAATAGCTGGAGTCCCTGTAAAACAGAACAAGGCACTAGAGAGTAAAGAATCTTGAGTTTCTCGGCACCATAGGATGCCTTCTTCATAAAGCTCTCACATTATAGGCCAGAAAGTATAGTACAGAAAAGCATCTAATACAAAGAAACACAGAAACCCTGGCAAAATGAGTAGGCAGAGGAATATGATCCAAACAAAACTATAAGACAGAATCCCAGAAAGAGGACTAAATGAAACAGAAATTACCTATTTTCTTGATAAAGACTTCAGAATAAAAGCAAAAACATGCTCACAGATTTACAGAAAAGTGTTCAAGATCTCCGGAGGACTTCAACAAAGTGACAGAAGATCTAAAAAAGCTGACTCTGAGCTCACTCAGAGTTGAAGAATACAGTATCTGAAATGAAACATACAATGGAGGGATATATGAGTAGACTAGAACATGTAGAGGAGATAGTATATGAAATGGAAATTAGAGAACAGGAAAACAAAGAAGCTGAGGAACAGAGAGAAAAAAGGACCTCTAGGAATGAAAGAATGATAAGTGAGTTATGTGATCAATCCAAATGAAACAATATTTACATAATAGGGGTACCAGAAGGAGTAGAGAAAGACAAGGGACAGAAAGTCTATTTAAGGAAATAATTGTTGAAAAAAAGTTCCCCAATTTGCAGAAGGAAATAGACACTCATATCACAGAAGTACAGAGATCTGCTAACAAAAGGAACCCCTGAAGACAACACCAAGACATATAATAATTAACATGGTAAAGATCAAGAGCAAGGAGAGAGCGTTGAAAGCAGACAGTGAGTGAAAAAAGATTACTTATAAAGGAAATCCCATCAGGCTATCATCAGACTTCTCAACAAAAACTCTTCAGGCCAGAAGGGAGTAGCATGATATATTTCATATACTGAAACAGAAAGACCTACAACCAAGAATACTCTACCAGGTGAGATTACCATTTAAATTTGAAGCAGGGATTAAACAATTTTCAAATAAACAAAAGTTGAAGGAATTTGCCAACACTAAGCCAGTCCTACAGGATATGTTAAAGACACTGCTATGGATGAAAATGATCCAAAGGCTAAATAACTTTCACCAGGAAAATAAACCCACAGTAAAGGTAGTAAACCAACTAATTATCAAGCAAGTACAAAATTAGAACAAAATGAAGCAAAATCAACTATACACAAAATCAGTCAAGGGATATATAAAACATGCAGATTATGACATCCAATAAGAAAAATGTGGAGGAGGAGGAGGAAGGAGGGAAAAAAAGTACCTTTAGATTATGTTTAAAACAGTAATCAGCAATTTAAGATAATTATATAGTAAGAAGCTATCCTTGAACTTTGGTAACCACAAAAACAAAGCCCACAATAAATACACACACAAAAATAAATAAATAAATAATACATAAATAAGAGAAATCTAATTACAACACTAAAGAAAATCATCAATAACAAGAAAAGAGAATTAGGAGAAAGAAAGCAACAGAGAGGAGCTATAATAAACAGCCAGAAAACAATTAATAAAATGGCAGTAAGTATGTATCTATCAATAATCATCTTAAATGTAAATGGACTGAATGTACCAATCAAAAGGCATAGAGTGGCAGAATGGATAAGGAAACAAGACCCATCTTTATGCTGACGATCAGAGACCCATTTCAGACCCAAAGAAATATACAGACTAAAAGTGAAGGAATAGAAAAAGATATTTCATGCAAATAATAGGGAGGAAAAAGCAGTAGCATTACTTATATCAGACAAAATTGATTTCAAAACAAAGAAAGTAACAAGAGACAAAGAAGGCCATTACATGTAATGGGATCAATCCAACAAGAGGATATAATCATTATACAAATCTATGTGCCCAACATAGGAGCACCTAAGTATGTAAATCAAATACAGAATTAAAGGGAGAAGTAGATTATGACACCTTCATTTTAACTTAATACACAACCCACATCAATAGATTAACCACACAGAAAATAAATAAGGAAACAGAGGCACTGGACAATATTAGATCAGATAGACTTAAGAGATATCTAAGAACACTTCATCCAAAAGCAGCAGGATACACATTTTTCTCATGTACATGGAATGTTTTCCAGAACAGATCACATACTAGGCCACAAAAAGAGCCTCAATAAATTCAAAAAGATAGAAATTGTATCAAGCAACTTCTCAGACCACAAACAAAAATACAACAGTTCAACTTAATTTATAATATATTCTGACACATCCCAAAATTATCTTGTGTACTCCCTTTAATGTGGATGCCTCATTTTGAAGACCATAGTTCTAACCAAATGAAAAAGAATTTCAAAGAAAAAACAGAATTGAAGAAATAATAAAGCTGAACAGATTTCAGGGAAGAGAAGAAAACAAAAACTAAAGGAAAATTCACTAGAATTTGACACTTGGAAAATTTTCAATTGATAAAAGTTTTAATGCACATAGGATTACATTTCATTTTCCCTGAGGCCATTCTATTTTGTTCTACATTGTTTACATAATCACATATAAATATTTTCAGGTTTAAAATTTTTACAACTACCTGTAAATAAAGTGAGAAAGAAATTAAGTTACAAAACAACATGCAAATATCTTGATGATGTAAAATTAACAATAACAACTGGGAGACTAAAGAGAGTGAAGACAGGAACAAAATCATCATTTATAGAGGCAAGCAATACTGTTTAGAGAAAATACGTAAAAAAGAATATTATTAATAAAAACAAAGAACTGTAAGTTCTTAAAACCTTAAGAACTTACAGAACTATAAGCAGGCACAATTTACAGTAGGAAGTGGTACTGGTGGGAAGGTGACTTCCAATTCTTTTTACTCTTTTATGTAATGTCAATGTTAATAAAATTATGACTTCTATTTTTAAAAAGCATTCTAAGTAGGGGGAAAGAAGCAGTGCCTAATTTAGTATGCCCATTTAGAAAATGGAACATTGACTACTGACTGCCATAGTAAGCTTACATTAAGCACTCCTACCATTCACCCCCTTCTTTTA